GTGCTTTGAGAGAGAGGTAGGAAGCTATGTATATTGTATATATTGTGTTTGATGCACTTGACTGAAACTTCAAGTTTTCTATTCCTGGCATCAAATATCACGTTTTGTTTATACATCAGCTGATTCTACAGTTTCATTTCTCTTTGTTCTATATTATATAATTCAGTTATTCTTCAAATTGTGTTTTTTTTATTCCTCTTGTCCTTTAGTAAACAGAAAGACCTACTTGTCATTTTATAGAGTAAGCTGATGCATAGATGCAGATCTGCATCAGAACTGAACTTTAGTTTTGCAGAATGTAGGTAAAAGAACTATATCTATTGGCAGATTCAGGGAGGGTAAGTTGTAAGAAAAAAAAGACAAAAAAATGTAAAGCCATTACCTACCTTGTATAATTGGAATATTAAATTCCTTTAAACAGTTCTAATAACAGTTTTTTTATGCACTCAATTATTTTACAGCAGTGAATTGTAAACACATTTCTAAATGATATATGTTGAAATATTCTTATATCACTGAGAATGAGATCGATATCACATTAATCTGCACAAAATTATTATAGTGAAGAGCTTAGTGTCAAGTTATCTCTGAAGCTCAGGGTGAGTCCAACACGTGTACCCCGAAATTAGCGCACAAACCGCTGCACTACTGCCCTTCGGTAAAGTCCCCTACGCCAGAGAGGTCACACGGCACACTAAGCCTGTCCCACGTCCTGGAAAAATAAGCCTGCTAGTTGACACCAAAATTAACCCAACCAACTACTAAAAATGTTAAAACTATGTTGGAAAAATTACTATTTTAGCTGACGGGAACTGGACGAATCCAGAAGCCATTATCGTATCTTGTCTGCGCGCTGAACACTTGCGCATTCTGGTCATTACTCCTGGGGAGGGGTGCAAGTAATAGCAACCTGAAGCTATTTCAAGCGAGGTAAACCCGACCCCACCAGTCCTAGCGGGCCAACCAGGACTTTCGCAGAACAATCAACATAAGAAACGTTGGTACATTTAGCGTTCTTCAGTCTTCGTAAAGAGTAAGTTTTTTTTTTTGCTGTATTCATATTCAAGTACTGATTACTTCATGTCTGTGTTAACTTTAGCTAGGTCATTATTTGCACATTAACTTCACTCGCTCCTTTATCAAGGGCCAAAGGGTTCCTTCCAGCCGGGTGCGATTTCGGCTTCCCTCGTGCGTAGCCTAAATGCGGCAGTTCGATATCACACATCGCTGCAATCAGGCTATCATACTTATCTTTGGGTCTTATGATCTCGTTCACCCTTCTCTCTCTCTCTCTCTCTCTCTCTCTATTTGCATTATTGGTAAGGGGAAGTATTGACCACTTGTGGTCCTGCTCATCCATCGGGACTACGGAGCCTTGTACTTTATCATTAACCAAGTGCACCACCGAACCAAGCCGCGATGCACACTCTGTAATTTTCACGTAGATCACTGACATTATTAGTTTTCAGACTTGACAACTTATTATTTTTTCTTGATTTTTCTTGATTTTCTTGATCGTTCCCACGACCAATTAAGCTCCCTCAGCCTAACCGTCTGATCTGTATTAATTTAATTAAATTCTGTACCAAATCGTACTTGGGTTTGGCATTAATAAAAGCTGCGTCAACTGGCCAAATATCAATCAACCCATGTCAAATTATTTCTTTAATTCTGCCATATTGACAGTTTCCCATGTTAGCATTCTTAGCATGCCAGCCAGAATTTTTGCAGTAGGGAGCAATCAACAGAAAAATTCACCATGCCCATCACTGCCCATTATCTCCTCCTTCTCAGAACAATTTACCCTTATTCCAACCAAAACTACCTGGCTTCTTAAAATTGTTCATGTTTCAGTGGCACGCAAAAGAAACAAAATGAACCACAGCTCCCTATGAATGGCCCACACTGAGGTCATCCCAGAGAAGCTCCAGCTCCCAGACAAGCTCCTCCCATATTTCATCCTCAGTTGAAAACATGTCAGCTATACCGTCCACATCAACAGCACTGTCCACCTCCTCAGCACTGGCCATAGACCTTGCAGGCTTAGTTCCGTCCATGTATGAGATGGTCCTGAAGTTGGCATTAGTGACTGCCCAACTGGCACTTGCCACGGCCCAGATGTTGTACCAACAGGCATCTACAACCTGCACAGGACCAGACCAAGACAACAGTCCGCTTCCAGATCCAAGCCTTCAGATGGCATGCTCCAGCCATGTTCATCTATCCAACCCATATCCCAGATCAGCTCCTGTCTCTAGCCTTGTTGAAACTGCCGGGCGACTGTTAGATGCAGCTCAGGAACCATCTTCAAAAAGGGCTTACCACAAAGCTTTGTCTGATTTCTTAGAACTTAAAAATTAGAACTGAACGTTTTAAAAACACTTTTATTCCTTTCTCTTTATTAAACCATTAGTGGTCTAAGTTTTACTTTTGAAACTCATTTTGGCCTTTATTGTATTTAATTATCATTACTCCATCCTCTTTTACACTAACTTTCAGATGCCTGTGCAAAAATTTATTTTATTCATTTATTTTAATTTATCCTTTTTTATGTACAGACACAGATGTGTCTGTACATATAGCTGTCACCTGCGTCTGTCATCGCCGTTGCCGTCGGTGTGCACTTTAACCATAAACACGATAAGTGAAAAACCGTTTTACCTTTTGGCTTGTTTATCTCATTAAGTTCTATTCGCATATCCTATATTATACTTGTATATCATTATTTTAATTTGTAAATTTTATTCTCACTCCATTTAATGTATAACTTCAACCTTTTGGTTGCCATGTTTTAATAAACTTATTTACTTATTTACTATAAAAGAATGTTTTGAAATGGCCCACACCTGCCTTCCCAGCTACTGAAGCTGATGTTGCCTTATACATAGCCCATTTGTTCCAGAAAAATCTAGCTCCCAGTACCATTGGTTCTGAAATGTCCAAATTAGGATACTTTCACAAGTTATCAGGTCACCCCGACCCTACAAACTCATTTCTAATTAAGACCATGTTATCAGGAGCCCATAAACTAAAGCCCTCCCTCCAGCATTTCTAATACAGTAACTACAGCTAGAGCACTATTTAGAGCTATGTATCTGACAACATTACAAGGTTTGCTTTCTGACAGTGAAATTACAGCACGAGCATCAACCATCACCAACTCTATTTCTTTACCTATTTAAAGGGGCAGAACTGTCCATCACATACTACAAACTAATCAATATAAAACCTCTTTTCTATTTTCATTGATCTTCAAATGGGTCCACTTTTGGAGTGTCTGCATTAGAACAATATCTCCCAATTGGGTGTGTCAGTCCTGGTCCACTTTTTTGTACTACTCCCATTTATTGCAACACATTTAATTATAACAATTTAGCCAGGGGCCATAAATATTAGATACAAGGGGCACAGTTTCAGGTTCAGAGCAGCTTCCTAGCAGCGCCAAATAACATCTCCGGTACTTGCATTTGTCAGCTTGGAGGTGGAACTCCTATGACTTTAACGACTATACATCTGTATCCCAGCTTCATGGTCACACAACATTACTGGACCTTGTGATAGTGCTTGATCATTTTAATGTTAAAACACTTGTGATTTTTTGAAGGACTATTAAACTTGGATAAGTATTTGGCCTAGCATTGCAGGTCTAGCGTTATATAAATGAAAACATTTGTCATCTGTATATATCCTTCTGTTGCATGGCCTAGCAGATGCATGTCACATAGTTCTTCTCCATCCATATAGTCCGAGATGTGTTTTACTTATACAATATCTTTTAGATATATCCGATTCGGAAAACTCTTTAAGTATCTATTCCTAGTAAAATAAGGCATCATCAATTTGCATTTGCAACTCTGTTCAATGTCACCAGAATTCATGACCTCATTATAGGGTAGACAGGAAATTTGATAAAATATTGATGTTTTATTAATAAAAATACAACACATTAGATTGTTTTAAGAACATTTATTTTTGGAAAAGCTTAATATTCATTTAGTATAGCATATACATCAGTGACATTTAACTTATATCACAGCTGTTTTGTCTACATTAATTTTCATTTTTTGTAGTTATCGGGGTTTTTAGACAGTGCATGTAAAATCAAATTTCATGATTTAAAATAAAAAAGATATCATGTAAAGAAGTAGCACAGTTGTTTAATTTTCAAGTATCTTGATCATATTTTAAATGTTTTAGTCTAGTTTGTAATTAACAAAAGAATCCGTAAGACATGATACAGTTAGACTGAGCTGCTGTTGATTTTATTCCTGTGAGTGGGAAATAAAGTTAGGTAAAACTGAATGAAGAAACATTTGACTGGTTGAAAAATAAAGAAATCCTCTAACAGTGCCAGGCCTACAAGCAAGAGCCATTGGTTGATATTCTTCTCCTCCAGAGCCATGCCGTAAACAGCAGTGAAGAAATATGACACTGCAACTGAGCAGAGCAAGAACATGAACACATGTATTTCACCCAGTTTGGAAGGAGCTTTCTGAATTCCCCTTTCACCATCATCTCTAAATGCAGTAGGTCTTCATCACTTGATCTGTTGGGGTCATGGTTGTTGAGGTCATCCATGTGATGGCCTTCTTCTGGAAGGAGTTGTAATGTTTATTAACAAAAATAACTTCTGATTTTTATCCAAAATGAACAAGCAGCTAACTTTTATTGCCTCAAATCTACCTCTTTTCACTGCAAAAAGCCCGAGCTTACAAGCACAACCTAGAGACAATTTTAGTCCTTTAAAATAAGGAGATTACATAATAACTCTTCTCAGAAACCAGCTTTTTACTTTTGTAAAATATTATTCAATCAAAATTAAAGAAGGGACAAAATCATTATCCTCATTCAAGAAATTTTCATCTGGCATGATGGTTTCAGGTATCAAAATCTTACATAAAGATAAGGTACAAAACACTGCGATAACACATCAACACTGACCTTCATCAAAATCAACTTGCACTACTACATCATTCACATCAGCTTGGCATGGAGGGGCAACGCTGCTTGCAGAGATAAACTCTGCATTTCTCCATACATCCTTAGAATCATTCAGTGTTGCTCTTCTTCCAAAACTTTGTTTGTTATCAGTGGTGCTGCTATCCAAGTTGACACAGTTATGCACTGCTTCCATGATTTCTGCATTTTCTTTTGCATCCTCCAATGATGGTTCAACATGGTCAGATGACATGCACAGCACCACTGAATCACATGATGGAGATACAGTGACTATCTGAAAATTAAATATACGTTAATTAGTACTTTTCTTGTAAACAACTGTACTGAAAGAAATGAAGGAACTGAAACTTTCTAAAAAATAAATGAAAAAATTAATAAATCTAGCCAACTTAGATAAATCCATCCAAGCAAGTCTTTAAGCCAATTTTTGTCATGAAATCAATATCAAATTATATGATAACAAAAATAAATACATAACAGTAAAAAGAGAGAAAAAAAGAGTAAAATGATTTGGCAATGTTATATTTTTTTCTAGAATTATTCTGCATATAGCTCAAGAAAAGTACACTTCTTTCAGTACCTTTACTGAAGAGACTATTTGACTTTGAGAGGCTGTTACTACAGTTGTCACAGGAACCTTTGCTGGAGTCTCTTCCTTTGTGAATTCATTGCCCTCAATCGTCTGAGGCAGAACACCATTCTTAAACTTCTCCTCATCACTGCCATTACTAAAAATTAAAAATCTTTAAGTATTTCTGAACACTTTTTATGTAACGTTTACCACAAAATCAAATAATAATAATAACAATAATAATTTTTTAAAAATTAGAAGTCAATTATTTATTTCAGTCCTTCATATTCTGTAAAACAATTTCCACTTTATCCCAAACACGAGGATTGAATTTTGTTGTAAAAGGAGCATTTTTCCCACAGAAATTTCTTCAACTTTAGGATAACACTTATTGAAACTCACCTGTCACTACAGAATGTTGAAACACCTTCCTCAGAAATGCTACCCTCCTTAACAGCAACATGTTCCTCACCCTGTCCAGTGGTTAATACTGGTACTACGTGAACACCTGCTGATACCACTCCCTCTGATGACTCCCTCTCTTCATTGCTACAGTCAGAGGTGTTATCATCATTGTTGTTGTTTTTGTTGTAGAATACACTAACTGCTTCAGTATCTGATTTTGATCTGCAAGAAGAAATTACAACAGTACAAATTTGTAATAATTTACAGAAAATGACAGAATTGATTAATGGCATTATAAAGTTTCACTGATATAAGAAAACAATATCTGGCAAATAAATTCTAATTAAAAAGCATTTTGTTTTTCATACCTTTGTGGTACCATGTGTTCTTGTCCTCTTGCTTCATCTTGGGTCATTCCAAAGGCATTCAAATTGCTTATTCTGGAAGTGTGTGAAAATATTAAGTCATTAAGGAAGTCAAGTGTGAATGTGCTGGTGAGGCTTTTTTCTGTATCTCTCTAGGAAGCAGGAAAACATGCACATTTTAAAGAAATGCAATCTTTTACTAACCAATATTTTGGGAGTAAAAATGTTCACAATCAGAGCCCCAAACTGTCAAAATTTATGCAGGAGATATAGATGAAACTGAAGCTCATAAGCTGTTAATAAAGTATGAATTACCTCATGTTGCAGAGTGACTTGGACTCATACAGCCCATGTTTTTCATCCTCAGGTGAAAGCTGATTCCTAACATGTAGAGAACTGGCGAACGGTCTATCATCAAGTCTAATGTGCCTTGTAAGATGATCTTCACCTGAGCATTTGCCTCTTACACAATTCTCTGCAGCATTGGTTGTAGCAGCTATAATAAATATTGATGATTGAAACTTCATAAATTATATCATTCCATCATTCAATATCTTTAAAACGTAATATTTCTTGTGATAAATACGATTCTTTCAACAACTTCCTAAGTTAGATAAATGACAATCTTGAAGAACAAAACTGTATTTTTACCACAATTTCAAATCTCTACCTTTTTTTCCCTGTCCTTTGTTCTTCACAACCCCATCACATGTTGTCTGCCGCATCTGACTTGCCATATCTGGACTGCGACTGCCCATTGTCTCCAAACACACACTTCGGCACAATTCCTTGGATCTAATGTTGCCCAGGATAAGTTCACACATGCAGTTTGCAAAGCAGATGATACCATTCACCATAAATGTGTAGAAAAACACATTTGCTGTCAGCTGTACTTCATGTTGACTACTGAGTGACAGCAGAGCCGTTTCTACGAGAATGTTGCCAAGCAGGAAGTTGCCAACAGCTGATAACAAGAGCACAAGCATCAGTGGTCTTGATAAAACTTTCATGTGCTCTCGCCCGCCACCAAGCGCAGGATAGATCCAACGGTGGTACTGATGGAAAACACTCACAGTGGTACTCCACATCCAGCTATAACAAACAATGTGTTCAACTTGCATTTAAAATTGTGTACACAAAAATACATTTATTTTGCATTATTTTTCATTTCACAATACAGATGAAAGTGAACGTCACAACTATCAAAATACGGAGATTAAATAACAACATATATCAATAAAAACCCAAATCAAGTATTGCCCAATTTAGCACCGACCCAGTCTACTCGCCTACCTAAAAACACTATCAGTGGTAGTTAGTGTGAAAGTGTGATGTTCTTGCACACCATCATGCTTTGTTTTCAGCCATTTCTTGCAGTCAAACCACCATTCCCTGTCAGCTACAGGGTCTGAAACAATCATGGAGTCTAAATACCTAAAAGTAATGGAAAAATTATCTTTAAAAAAAGTATGACCAAATTAATTGCACACGTATGCTAAAAAATAAGTGAAAAAGTAAAAATCAAACAGCTGAGCTCTTTGCTACAAATTCAAAAATGTTTTTGTATTTATATCAATCATTGTGAATATCAATATGAACATTAATTTCTCATTTGCCATTGTAAAAAAAAAAGTACCACAATGCCAATTCAATAAAGAATATAAAAACATCAAAAGAAATCAATAAACATAATTCTGTTACTTTTTATCCTAGGCTAAAATGTGCACTTACCATTTTCCTTTAACACCAGTGCCTTGTTGAGTTGTACAGATACTAGTCAGCTCTCCAAGTGGAGCTACAAAAAGGAAACAAATTTAATAACTCATGTTTTTTATACATGGAAGTAATATACTTTGAATGTGTCAGTGTTCCACTGTTTTTGTGTCATTCTACAATACTTTCCATCTATTAAATATTTGGCAACTCCCAATCAATATAGGGTTTTATTTTTTTCTTTTTTGTAAGTGATATATAGAAACAAACAGTGTAAGGGAGGTTTATTACAAAGACAACAGTGTTGAGGAATGGCCCTTTTTAAAACTTCCTTTTTTGTGAAAAGATATGTACCTTTGGTATATAAAATGAACATGCTCTCACTTCCACGTGTGAAAACCTTCTGTCTACTTCCATGTGCCGACAGTGAATACTGTGGTGAGGCAGAGTTGTTAGAAAATAGCTGTATCTTGACTTTACTGTTGGTTCCAGCATCTACAATTGTATAAAAAATAATGAATACTCAACATGAAACTAATTATATTTCTAATAGCAATTAAATTCATTCTCTTTGTAAATTAAAAACAAATGACAGGTAATATTAAAAAAATTCCATACTATAGCAACTAGGTATTTTTTGAAACCCCAATACAGTAAGGCATTTGCATTTTAAGCCAACTGCTTTTTTAAATGAAATATCTTATCTAAAAATATGTTAATATGATAAGTCACTGTGCTCCAACATACTTCTCCTAAACCCAGTCTTCACTGTCAAAATGTAGGCATAAACATCATCAGCCAGATGAGGAATCCCGACAATCTTGGACTAGAATAATAATAATAATAATAATAATAAACCTCAATTTATTAAAAATCATTGTCATTGTTGGCAAACTATTTGTACATAAAATACCCAAATCAAAATGAAGTGATAACCTTTTTGATACATTTTCCTTAATGATGAATGAAAGAAGTCTAAATATGTTTCCAAGATAAATATTTGGATTTTAACATCCTAAACAAAGTCAAATGGCATCACCTGACATGATGAACTTCCATGAATTGTATTGATGATGTAAGTTTTCATTTACAACATATGGTTTATATGTTGCAGTTGTAGATTACATACAAGCCACATGTTGATCATAAAGTTTAAGACATGATAATGACCATGTGTCTGTATGGACAGACACGCAGACAACCCAATTCCAGTCACATAATATAAGAAAATCTTATAATACTATACATATAGTGTCTAATACCTTTCTTGTCCTGCCAGTTGTAAGTGCAAGGAAGCAACCCAGAAAGAGTGCAAAGACTACAGCCAGTAAGCAGTAAATGTAACTAGCGCCATGAGACATAAAGGTAGGTGGAGGAATATGGAGGTTAGAAGTAAGCAACCTACTATCAACTCCAAATCCTAACTTAAGAGGAATAGTAACTAAAAATCAGAAAGATAGAAATAAAGGTGAAGAAAAAATAGACAAAGAAAAAAAAAAGGAAAATGAAGATAATTTTAAAAAGACTGCTTATTGTTCTAAACAAATGGGTAAGTATTGTAACTTCCATGTAAACTAAATGGCACATTTTAAAAAACAAATTAGAAAGTTGATTACATGAGGGGTTAATTGCTTTGCTTGGAGCATGTCATTTGATCATGGTTAATCAATAAAGAAATGGTGTTATCATTTTGAACTTTTTTTTGTCCTTTGTTAATCACCACTTACTTCTAGGTTTCACTGGTGGCAATGTGACTTCCTCCACTACAGGTATTTCAGTTGTACTGGGAATCCTGGTTCTTTTCCAGATATCAAATGGGTTTGCATTTGGTACAGCAAACCTTTTTACTCTTTTCCTTTTAGTGCCACTGTCAATCCTTGCATTATCCTCCGTGATCCACTGAGAAAAGCGCTGTGCACTTGTTTTTATCAAGCCAGTAACATTCTTAACAAAAGAACTAACGCCTCCTACCAGTCTGTGGAATTCTACTTTAAAGGCACCCAATATCTCATCAAGAGTCATATCTTCCCCTTGTGGTTTTTGTAATGTTGGGTCATAGGAAATGGTTGAAGTACTAATACCAAATCCAGTGGGTTTTACTTGGTTGTTTATAACATAAGGAGATGTTGTTTTCATACCAATCCCTGAAATAATGCATAATTATCTAAATTCAATCATCCACATCAAATGTTTGCCTTTAAAGCTAGTATTTGCAAATTCCAAAATGTAACATATCAGAAACCGTTTGTTGCTAAATGACATTGACATTTCATTATCTTTTTTTTTCTTACATTTTTTATTTCATTTTTATCATTTTGACATATCCATTTTTAATATATTTTCTCTTTTATTACATGATACAAACCTCTCAATAGTTTTATTTATATAACTGACACAGATCAAACAATGTGGTCTTACCTTCATGTTTCACTGATGAACTTGTCATTTCCTCAGTCATACCAATAGATGTGCCAGTTTTGCTGGCAATATTAATTGTACTTCTTGCATCCACCGTAGTAACTGGGGGCACTTTGAAACCCCTCAATGCTGTCTTTCTAGTACCCACCACCGTGTTAGAACCTCCAAATATCCCCACGTGATATAATAGTTGAGCCTTTGTTTTCATCCAAACACTGACATTCTTGACCAAAGTATTTATGTTTCTTGCTATTTGGTAGATTCTGTCCAGAAAAGAACTCTTGGCAACATGAGGATCTGCTTTTTGCTGAGCTGTAGTTGTGCCAGTTACAGGGGGAAGCAGCAAGTCTAAACTTCTTGTTGAAGTACTCATACCCAATACTGGGTGTTCTACATGGGGAAGCAACGTGGGCATACCAATGCCTAAAATACATTATTTACATTATTCGTTCAAAAATACACCATTTACTTTGCTGGAACAAATTCATTCATATTTTTCTAATATCAGCATGGAAGAAAGCTCCAGTCTATATAAACAGAGGAGTGACCTTGGTTTGGCTCATTGAAGTTACATGAACTATTAGGATTAATAAATTTAAAAAATATAGCTACTACCAGTAAAAATTTTATTCAAATGCGAACAAAATTATTGTAGATGACCACAAAAGTTCGTCTTAATTAAGTATCATTCCAATATAAAATTCTCGTTTACGGTCTCTCTTAGTGACAAAACATCATATATTTACTTAAAATTTCAATATAACACGTAAAAGTTACCTGGCTGCATACCCAGCACCAAAATAACAAATGTCAACACACAGCTGACTCTGGTGCGCTTCATTAGTGCGGTCTTCATTTTACAATTTAGATCTTCTTGTTATTCTGTGTGATCCACATTATTCAGAATAAACAAAAGAGATAATAAACCTGTCTTTGCATTATTTCAATCGCAGTAAATATCAAATCGAACAGAGAGGAAGAAATCGCCATCCACCATTCCTTTCCCTGTTGATTCGTCTACCTATATTATGACGTCACGATCTTAGCGACACTGGATGTGCTGGGTTGAGACGGATGAGACATTTTAACTTGAAAACATTGTTAAACCGTTTTTATTTTACTATTATCTTAGAACTTATGCAGGATCCAAGCATATTTAAACACAGTCTGTGACATATCGTAACACTGACCAGTTTAAATCAGAATCTCCATACATAACTGCCACCTGGCGACAATAATATTATATATATATATATATATATATATATATATATATATTTTGG